CAATGCTTTAAAAATCTCAGACAGTCTTGAAAACAGCACTCAGAGTGGGGTCTGTGTCTATCAGTCAATTATAGATTCATGCAATACACAAAACCTAAGAGGCAAATAAATGTCTAGCAGTAGCTTGTTTCTTTACAAAATCACTTTTGTGGAAGATTAAGGGTAATTGGTAAATACTGAATTAAATTCCAATGCTAACTCACTCCTGAATCAATTCCAGACTGAATTCATCCTCCACTGAAGAGTCTTTGGAGTAATTAGATATAATAGTGGCCATCTGGTTGTCATCCCCTCAAATTCGCATTAAGCGAGACCCACTGGTTAAAAGTCAAGTGATTGACATGCACATTGAATTTGCCTCTCTTTCACGCTGACAATAGCTTGTAGCCAGACACAATGTCTCATTTGTCCAACATTCAATGCCAGCAGCAGTCGACGTCTTGTTTGTGAGTGAAAGAGGGTGCAAGCTCTTGCTGTTTCACTTTTCTTCTGCAGACTCACCAGGGTCTGCAATGACACAGTGGATGTCACTTCTGTCAAACACATCCACTGTTTGTTCACAAAACAACAGCGCTGTGTATTATGGTTTTGACAGTGGGAAACAAGAGCTAAAAAGGCTCAAATAAATTTGTGGAACAGATAAAAGATTCTTAGGCCATAGGGGATACATTTTGACACTTAAAACAGCACAATTTTTAACAAGAAAGCAAACAAGCATGTTTTTTATCTAATGCAATTTTGTAATAGCCTAAAATATATGAGCCATTAAAATCGGAACATTTCCAGTACCCTCAAATCAACTTCCAGTATGAATAAATAATTCCTCTGTTCGAATCCCAGACCGCCAGCCCATTTATAATTTCATGCCGTCTCCAGTCATTGTGCGCAGAGGAAAGCTGCTTGTTTTGACAGATTGGGTTGCTTTGATGCATACTTCAGTTGTGGTGGATTTTTGCAGCTGTATTGCATGTTAAAGTAAACAGTCGAGTTGATAAGATCTTCAAAGATAAATTTGCAAGCAGGGTCTTTCGAGCAGCTGAAAAGGATAAGGGCAGAGAGGAATGTAATAGCATGACTTTTGCTGCTGTGCCACTTTTGCTGTGTGGCAAAATACGGACAGTGGTAGCAATATTAGAAAACTTAATTGTGGAGGAATAGTTTTGGCAAATGAAAATCATAATGAGAACCGTAGTATTGTCTGAAATTACAAAGGATTTCTAATTATGAGGCTGTGTCACGACCATTATGACTGTTATTTAGTAGTAATTTAGAAGTAATTGAGCTGTTTTCCTTCAGCAAAACATGCCTTGATGTCTGACTGTTCTTTAATGTCCTCTATTATGTTAAAATATGTATTCATCTCAGAAAAGAAAATTCACAAATGCAATCTTTATAATCCAATTGTTCTCATTGGCACACCGTCTGGGCAGGCTTAAAACTTCGGATGATGGCAGAAGAGTGAAACCAAGACCGGTGATCATGAGATTCGTTTCCCGTACAGCCAGAGATTTAATCTGGAAAAACTCAAAAAACAACGAGTATCTGTCTATCAAGGGGCTGCGGTTTAAGGAGGACTTGACTGCTTTCGACCAGGGGCGGATTTAGTGAATTGGGGGCCCCAGGCAAAATATAGGAATGGGGCCCTATACATTTGCACACATTTTCCCAGATCAACCTTGAGGTTCCATTTTGTTGTTTTCAGCGTAAGCCTGTGTGCAAAGGCTGTCTAATTCTAAACTTTAAAATACATTTATTTTTAGTTGTTTTAACTAGAAATTTAAATAAAACTGAATAAAATCATGAAAAGGCAATTATACATTTACACTAGGGATGCACCGATACCGATACTGGTATCGGTATCGGGCCCGATACTGGCCTCCTGTACTCGTACTCGTACTCGTTAAAATGCCCCGATACCAAACGCCGATACCACACAGCATGTGATAAGCGCCATATTTAAACAAAGAAACACTGACAACAGACAGCAGAAAGCTGAAAAAATGGCTAGCGGGCTGCGAAGTAGCTAACGCTTTATTCTGCTACGTTACCCCTGCATTTTGTTCCATCCTGAGAGCGTGACGGACATCGCATGGACAACTACAGGTGTAATCAGGGGCGGATTTAGTGAATTGGGGGCCCCAGGCAAAATATAGGAATGGGGCCCTATACATTTGCACACATTTTCCCAGATCAACCTTGAGGTTCCATTTTGTTGTTTTCAGCGTAAGCCTGTGTGCAAAGGCTGTCTAATTCTAAACTTTAAAATACATTTATTTTTAGTTGTTTTAACTACAAATTTAAATAAAACTGAATAAAATCATGAAAAGGCAATTATACATTTACACACCATACATATATCAAGAGCATGCTCACAGATGAGAACAAAACAGCGTTGGATGAAGTGGATTAAAGCCCTGCACGGGTCTCAAATATAGGCACTAGCCCGTCTTTTTTCCCCTTTTCCCAAAAAAAGCTTATACTACTGTTTCAGCTATTAAAATAGTTCAGTTTTGTATGTAATGGAAAAGTGATTATATTTAGTTTCGTTTTTTTATAAAGTAAATTTAGAAAAAAACATTTGGAGTATTTTTTGTTCATTAAATGTACGTTTTTTTGTTTTTTAAGTAAAGGCCAGCAGCAGACAGTGA